ATGCAATTGACACCTCTGGCCTGCACACGTGGTGGAGTATGTACACACAAATTTTCAGATCTCCAATCCATACGGTGGCTAATATCCGAGTTGGGTCAAAAATGACCCAGGTTGGTACTACTAGGGTTAATAAAGATTTTAAATTTTAGGTCATTTTTGTGTACTTAAAAAGTGAGATCAATGTATTCGGTTGGCTGTTTACATGATAAATTTTAAAAGGAGAGTAGGATCTTGATGAAATTTTCTACATACTATGGTCTAATCAATATATTTCGGTTGAGTTAGAAGATGAGAATGATTTGTCGAGCCATTACTGAATTATCGCAAAAAAAGAATGATTTTTCCTTATGCTTTTCTATGCGATTATTAACCTATCTCGGTTTTTGTAAAAGAAGAATTGGCAATTCAATTGTGTGGTAATCATAGGGTCCTCAAGTCCTATTTTTTCTCTAATAGAACTTGAGGATCCTAGGGTTCGAGGCTGGAGACGGTTCGTTACCAGTTATCAGGGATCGTAACGGCAATTTTTTACTCCTACCCATCTCCTTTGAGTTCCAGACTCTAAAGACTTTGGACATTGCTGTCTTCATTTATTTTTTACTTTTTGAAGTACGCATAAAACTCGGATTTAAATTCGAAGTTTTCATATTTACTTGAATAATCTATTCGAAAAGTTTTCTCATATGAAAAATAAATAGCAATTAATGTTTGTTTTTTTTATTTTGATTTTTTTTAAGATATTTTATGTTCGTAATTCTTTTGAAAATCTTTGACTATGAAATACAAATTTAGCGTGTTTATAATGATTATAAGAATAAAATATAGGAATTCGTGCTGGATGGGTATTTAACAATTTGTCTATAGATCATAATGAATGAGAAAATCTATTCAAGATTATTTTATTGAGAATGATTTTTTTTTTCTATGAAATGGTTCTCTAATTTAATATGATCATGTCAATTTAAGCATTAGTTTTAAATTAAACAAAGAATTTTCATAGACTTGAATGCATAAAAAATATTAAAGAAATAAGAAAGACATACATGTTGGCACATTTTTATAAACAATAGATGAATGTCAACTTTGAATATAGATATATATTAAGATAGCAAGATAATAGTTACCATGAACGTAGATAAGTTCATCAGATTGTTGGTATAATATACTACTGATTAGAATTATAAATTTTCTATAATCAAATTATTGAACAAAAAACAATTCATAATAATAATACTCAACGCATTTACCAACACAAAAAAAAACTAAATATATTATGTTTAAGTTGAAATATTTTTTTTTTAAATCTTAAAACTTGTATCCTATCATCTACTATATTTATCCTGATAAACCTATATTTATAGATACAGAAGTTTTTCTTGAATAATATTGCTCGGTAAAGATGCTTATTGAACTAAAAAAATTGTCGTTATATAGTATCTTAAAACATAATATTAATCATTCTTATAATTTATGAGAATAATAAAATATTAGAAACAAATTTATTATGAAAATTTAAAGATTATTATATTGTATGACTATAAATCATTTTCTTTTTAGATGTGTGATATATTATTAATTGAAGCATTTTATGATGGTTCTCATCGTTCATTAATAGATCTTCTTCATCGAGAATTATCTCCACGTTCAATGTTAATAACATTACCAGGTACAAAATGGCAATGGCGTGCTCGATGTTCATCATTAATATTATCAGATATGATACCAAAAAATGAAAATTTATTTAAATATTTATTTAGTTCATCTATTGTTAATTTAAGTGAATTAATATCTCTTCGTATTGATCTTCGTTCATTAAAAACAATAATTTATTTTCATGAAAATGATTTAGCTTATCCTAAACAAAATGAAAAACAAGAACAAAGAGATTTTCAATATGGTTATAATCAAATATTAACAGCATTAGTTGCTGATATTTGTTTATTTAATTCTTATTTTAATTTAAATACATTTCTTGATAAACTTGGACCTTTTCTTAATCGAATTCCATCACCAAAAGCAAATATTCAACATATTCGAAAAACAATTGAAAATAAATCTAAAGTATTTTATTATCCATTAGATAAAACAATATTACCAATTAAGGTTAATTATTATTTTATTTTTTGTAAAATTTATTTTATATTATTTTTTTGTATTAAGATAAATAATAATAAAAAAGGTCCATTATGTATTATTTGGCCGCATCGTTGGGAACATGATAAAGATCCTGATACATTTTTTTCTATTATACTTGAACTTTATGAAAAATATTCATTAGAATTTTCTTTAATTATTCTTGGTCAATCATATGGTGAACAACCATCAATATTTTCGGAAATATTATCGAAATTACCGTCGAATTATATTCGTCATTGGGGTTTTGTTGAATCAAAATTAGAATATGAAAAATTATTAATGGAAGGTGATGTTGTTGTATCGACAGCTCAACATGAATTTTTTGGTGTTGCTATGTTAGAAGCTTGTAGAGCTGGATGTATTCCTATTGTACCTGATAGATTAGTTTATACTGAAATTTATCCTAATGAACAACATCGATATAGAACTAAAACACAATTAATTAATAAATTAAAAGAATATTGTCTCAAACCAGATTATCTTAGAAATAAAATAGAAAAAAAAGATACTTTTATATTTGAATGGAATAAAAATGAATCTATTAAACAACAATATTTACAATTATTTCAAAATGAACAATTTAATAGTAATATCAATGTATCAGATTAAATACAAATATATTTTATGTTTAAAAAATAAAAGTTTTATTTCGATCAGCTTGTTCAAATAGAAAACTAAAATATTTTACAAAAAAAAAAAAATATTATCAATAGACATATCATAATACAAGTTCATATTATCTTGCCTCGCAGCGGTCCTGATTTCCTGATTTTTGGTGCTTTTCGAAACTAAATAATTTCTCTAGAAAATTTCGGTTTAGTCTCAGTGTAGGCGTTTCAGAAATTCTGTCTTGAATTGATGAAGATACTATTTTTTCAATGATCGCGTTGTACATCTTGTTTGAAGAATAGATAAAATTCTTTATGAACTGAAAAATGTCGGTGAATATATGAAAAAATTCATCTGTTTTTTTTTTACAAGATTCATACAAAATCTTGTATCATTATTCAGTAAGAAGAAAAAAAGAAAAGACAGGCACAAGTTAGTTAGTTAGTAGATCTGGAAGTCGAGAGTCCGATGAATAATCAACTCTCTTCGTTGGATTGCCGTCGACGAATCTCATGAATGAACTTCTCAAGATGTCCCCTTGCTTTTGACCTGATATTTTGGCTATATCTTGGGACCTCTGGANGAAAGAACTAAATATATTTGTTCAATTAATGGAAACTTTTGCAAAAACAGTCAAATAAATCAATAAGTTTATAAAAATATTTCTAAGTATTCGTTATTATCAACGATATCATGTAAAATTCGAGAGCATTTTTTACAATATTATTTGAAAAACAAGCTTTGTATAATTTCCCATAGATAGTTAGATTAATGTGAGGTAAATTATACATCCTGTTTTCTTTACAAAGACTTCATCACATAAAATAAAATCTATCTATTTCAATTTATGCGATTACTATAGTCGAGCAAACGAAAATAACAATATGAATAATAAGGACCACACTTGATTTCAACAGAACGTGATATCTTTTAGTTGTTTACATCCCAATGTGATTCACATTGGAAAAAATAATTTTGTGCCTAAATTCTAATCATTTAACTTCATTTTACAAGAGAAATCTACTTTGGTTTTGTTGATACCAAATTTTAATTAAAATCCAGTTTTTTCCTCTGATATACAGGAAATTTGATTTCTTGAATGATTATGCGCTGCTATTTCAATAGGTCCTTTGTACTGTTTTAGCATCTTCAAATCCTAATCATTTCTTTTGAGAGAGAAAACATAAGGCTAGGTTAGTCGCCTAAGATATACAGGTTATCTCAAAAACAAATGAGATCTATCTTCTTTCTAAAAAAGATGATGGCGCTGCCAATTACGGACATTCAATATTTATCGAAAAACTTATTAATTTAGTACTATTATGAAGAAAAAGATTCTTTTTGATTCAAGGATTGCAAACCGACTCTCAATATCATACAAAACATAGCTTTTCGGCTGATATTAACTGTAATTTCATCAGACTCGCATACTTCAATAGACGTTTCAGCGATTAAGCTTACAAAAATGTTTTTGGCTGTTTCACTAACAAAAACATTTGATAAGCAAAAATTAAAAATCCGTGTAAATTTTTGAAGTTATAAATATTTTTAAAATCGGTTTAAAACTCTGAAAAAACAGAGTCCGTAATTGTGAAATGGTCAAAATTATTCATTAATGAATTATTATGCGTTTTAATGGCCATTTCACTATTATTTATTTGAAAAGATGTATTTTAATGACCGTTTCTTCATTATTCACTTGACTGGATTAGATCCCTCACTATCAAAAACAATATGTACGTTCTCATTTTCTCATTGCGAATAACATCAGATAGAAGCTTAGCTACATGGAAAAGCAAAGGCAGATTTATCTGAAAAACAAATAAATAAAATAGAGAGCATCACTGTAATAATAGCACATCCCTGAGGAGAAATTTCTTTTTATTAGAAGTATTATAAATTATATATTAGTATATGACTATAATAATGTATGAGAGAACAGCAGAGTCCCATAGTCTCAGCTCGTTGTGAGTTGCATCGATCAATTTCGGACTTTTTTTTCGTCATAGAACTCGAAATTTTCAAGCAGTTTGAGAATTTTTCATTGAGTCATTACAAAGATGTTTATTTAAATTTTGTTTTTAAAAATTATTCAATCAAGAATAATATCGTTGATTATTATTGTGTAAAGGATTTTAGCAAGTTTGTTTTTCGAGAGACAAATATTTTAAATGACTATAATATGAAAATATCATCTTCCATTATGCAAATGTAGATATACTCATAATCAAGTGATGAGAACGAAAGCAATTAATGAAAATATAAAGAATGCAAAGGAAGTAATAGAATAAAATTGCGAAAGAGAACAAGAACAATAGTATGACGAATGTTTATCATGTGTTATACTCATATGATGAATAGGTGATGCCTTCTTCCTATACATTAACAGACATGCTTATTTGGAAAAAACCAATGACGCTCTTTTTGTAATTATACACATATATATATTCATGGTATAATTGAATACTGATCAAACACAAAAGCATATCCATCTGTCAACTCAATATTTTGCCCCGTAAGTAGAGCACCATCCATTTCAAAACTTAACTTCAAAACAAATCATTCGTATAGCGCTCTTTTTCCTTGTTTGTCATCGAGAATGATCGAAATAATATGCCAAAGTTGTTTTTTGTGTAAATACCATTAGTGTTTCAATTCTTGTTCGACAAATTTTCCTAGAAATTTCTGAAAACCCATAACTATCTTAACAAATTAAAGATTGAAAAAATTCGATATGATTCAAAACAACTTTCTTTAGATGCTTTGAAAAATTCTCCTAATCTCTATGGTATCATTTAAATAATTGTGAATTCTAGTTTTGTATAGAATCAAAGTTTTCGAATTATTAGTTTTACGTAATCCTTACTCTCAACGATGACGCACACACATATTGGTTGGCAGAATTTCTTCAACACTAAAATCATTTTCTTTTTATTTCAGTAAAAACACGATATTGATATTAATTTAAATCAAGTTAATCTTCACTAATTATGACAACATTATCCGTCAATAAAATAATCTCTACTTTTTCTCACGATGATTACAAATCAATAAATATTGACGAAAATGATAAGAATATAATTCTTGTCTGCTTTGATCCAGCCAATGAATTCCATGACGATACTGAATATTTAAATAAACGATTGAATCAGATAAATAGTCCTCTTGTTTTTCATAGTGAACTTGAATCTTGTATCACTTTTATTCAGTCAATAGACAAAGAAAAAGTCTTCGTTATTATTTCCGATTCATTTGCTTCTCAAATATTGTCTTATATTAACAATCTGCATCAAGTTGATTTTATTTTTGTATTTTCATCGAAAAAATCTCAATATGAACATTTACTTTTTGAATATTCAAAAATAATTGGTATTTATGACAAATTTGATTTACTTTGTTCATCAATTGATGAACAAATTGATTTTGTTGATAAAAAATTTAATAAATGGACTTGTTTTGATCAGGATGAATATTTAACAAAAGATTTAACAGAACAACTGTTTCATGATGTTATTTTGTATTTACCACGTGATGAAATAAGTAAAAAGCAGATGATCGATGCATGTCGTTTTTATTATCAAGAAAATTTCAAAGAACTTTCATTCATAGATGAATTCGAGCAGAAATATCAATCAAATGAAGCTATTCACTGGTATTTGAAAAGTTCATTTCGGAGAAAAATGATTAATAGAGCTTTACAAATAGAAGACACCGATCTATTTTATAAATTAAGATATTTTCTTGGTAATCTTATTGAAAATCTCGCTCGAGAACATCAACAAATCGTTCAATCTGATATAAATTATTTAATTCTTTATCGACAAATGAAATTATCAAAAAATGAATTCAAATAATTAAAAGAAAACAAACATTTCATTCCTGTTCTTTTTCAAATCGAATGCAATTTACAAGAGATTGGTGTTTATGTTTGTTTTGCTGATATAATCCAATTCAGTGAATCTTCACATCAACAAGAAATTCTCTTTGATTTAAATACTACTTTTCGTTTGGAAAACATTCAAGAAGGAGAACAAATTTGGATCATTAAAATGATTGTAGTCAATGATGGACAAACTATCATACAAAAATATATCGATGATATTCATCGGCAAATAGCAGATCGAACTATTCCAATTATTTTTGGTAAATTAATATGTGACATGAGTCAATGGAATCAATCACAATTATATTTTCAACACTTGTTCAACGATTCACATAGAGAAAATTTAGCACAAATAGAACATCATATTGGTCAAGCTCATCAATGGAAAGGAGAATAGATTGAAGCACGAAAATATTATTAATGTGCACTTAATCGAATGATGCAAGTTGAGCAATCTTGTATCAAATATTCCGCTATTGTACTTTCAGACATTGGTGAAATATTGTATCTACAGGGAAAATATGAAGAAGCCGAAGAATTTCATCAATGAGCCTTAGAAATACGAAAGAAATATTACTCTTCTGGTCACATTAGTATTGCTTTTTCTCTAGAAAACATTGGTCTTATTCAACAGCAACGACTAAAATATAATGAAGCATTTATTTTCCTTCAACAAGCACTGATCATTCGAGAAAAATATTATGACTGTCCTCATGTCGACATTGCTACTAATCTACGAAATATTGGTTATATTTTACATGAACAAGACAAGTTTGATGAAGCCTTTGGTTATCATCAACGAGCAATGTCAATCTACGAGAAATATTATCCATTGGGTCACGTATGCATTGCTGATGCTCTTAATCATATTGGTGCTATTCTTAGCAGACAGATGAAGTACGATGAAGCTCTTGAAACTGTGCAACGAGCGTGGATATTGCAAAAAAATTTTTATCCATTTAGTCACTTCGACATAGTAATAACTTTTAACAATTTAGGAGATATTAAATTTGCACAAGAAAAGTATGACGAAGCTTTAGATCTGTATCAACAACATCTATCAATACAAATGAAATATTATTCTTCTGACCACATAAATATTGTTCACACATGGAATGGAATTGGTCACGTATTTAACAAAGAAAAAAAACGTATGATAAAGCTTTAGAATTCCATAGACAAGCTCTTTCAATATTAGAGATATATTATCCATCTTATTATGGTCATATTGCTAATAGTTTCATATTCATTGGTCATGACCTAAACGAACAAAGAAAATATCGTGAAGCCCTTGATTTCTATAGCCAAGCATTAACAATGCTGAAAGACTATTATCTTTCTGATAATATTTATATTGCTACTAATCTTAAAGCCATCGGTAATGTTCTTTATCAAATGAAAGAATACGATCAAGCTTTCAAATCTCATGAAAAAGCACTCGCAATTCAACAGAAATACTATGAATCTGACGATATCAATATTGCTGATACTCTTTGTGGGATGGGGTTTCATCCGATATGTTGAGGCAAAGTACAATGATGCCATCGATTTCTATCATAGAGCAGAAGCGATTTGTAAGAAGTATTCTCCGTGTTTCCAAGGTTTTCGTGCTTATGTTCTCAGTGATATTGGTGATGTTTTATATAAGCAAGAAAATTATGACGAAGCATTTGAATATTATCAGCAAGATCTTGACATTCGAGAAAGTTATTATACATCTGCTTATATGAATATTGTTTATAATTTGAATAATATGGGCAACATTCGAAAAAGTCAAGAAAAATATAATGAAGCTATCAAATTCTATGAACGTTCCTTAGAAATCTATCAGAAATATTTTTCATCGCATCATTTGAACATTGCAAACAAACTCATGAATATTGGTAACATTAGATTTAAGCAAAGAAAATATGATCAAGCTATTGATTGTTATCAACAGTCAGTCGCTCTTCTTAATGAGTATCATCCTGATGATCATATTAACATTGCTGAGGGCCTAGAATGGATTGCATTTATTTTGAATCAAACTGAAGAAAATGATAATTCTGCCAAATATCTCGAACCACGTTTAAGAGTTAGAGAAGCTAGTCTCTCTCCGGAAAATTTGACCGTTGTTAAGACTCTTTCAGTCTTCTCTGTCGTACAAGAAAGTCGACATGAATATAAATTTTCTCTAGCGTATGACTTGAAATGCTTTTTAATGCGCAAAAAAATTCTTCCACCAGATCATCAAGATATTGGCATATCTTTGTGCAATATTGGTAGAAATTACGAACATGTTAATCAACCAAAGCTAGCACTTAACTATTATAAACAAGCACTAGTTGTCTATGAACAATGTCTACCTGCTTCCGATGAAGATCGTCTAGAACTAGAATCGGATATTCAACGACTTTCGGAAGGATCACACGAGTGATTAATTCAAAAATCAACATACGAATGTCAATGGTCAGCACTGGCCAAGTTCCCAGGAGTCGGGAACTCAATGGGAACTCAAACGGTGTGGGTGTGGAAGTGGGTGTTTTTGAAAAAAGTTTTTTTTTCGAAAATTGGACTTGAGGACCCTAGGGTTCGGGGCTGCGGACGGGAGACGGTTACCAAACCGTTACGAATTACCTGGGAACGTAATGATAACGTCCCACACCCACTCACACCGTTTGAGTTCCCAATTCCCATTGAGTTCCCTACTCCTGGGAACTTGGCCAGGTCTCCTTTCAGTGTCTTTCAACTAGGATAGGCTGAGTTTGCTCATAAACCTTGGAAAGGGTCTGTGACCGATTGGAAATTCATATACCCTTGTATCGTTTTCTGTATTCATAAACTCTTTTTCGGTTTATGAATGAAAGAAACTCTTTGATGATGAGTTTACCATTGCACATTTAAAACAATGGCAGAATAATAATTATTTTGATTCAAGGTTTGTTCCGTTCTTATAACCAAAATGGGTTTATTAACACAGAAAACAGTACAGAAGTGTATGAATTTGCGATAAATCTCCACCAAGGGTGAAAAAGCTTGGCTTCGGTATTCTGAAGTACAAATGAAGTACGATACTTTCCTTATTCTTCACTCGTGCTTCATTAGTACTTCACTTGTACTTCGGAATGTCCGAACTCTCGCTTTATCTCCATTGTTCATGAACCATAACAAGGTTTATAAATAGAAGGATTTATGCAACTGTAATAAAAGAATAGTGAGGATTTATTATTTTACGCTTATTTTTTACAGCAAATAAGGCTCATTGAGGCTCAAAGAGAAGATTTTGATGGATACCAATTCTCTCCTAGTTAGTAAAGCGGATTCTTAGAATAAAACATCACGCCTTGGAAGAGAAATTATCCGAAGTAACTAATGTTTTAGTTTTCATTTCTTTTTTCGTTTTTTTTTCTCAGAAAGGTAACAACAAAGGTACATTATGCGATTAGGTTTGCTGCAAGAAGATTGTCATAAATAAAAAACAGCACGATTTCGTTATTTGTCTTTCAGATTAAGCGAAAGATTTGATATGCATCCACATCGACTTGCTTTGATCTTCGAAAATGATAACTACAATGGTAAACACAAATAACAAAGTTGTGTTAAGAATGCAAACGATATGGCAGTTGCATTAACAATTTTTGATGAGTTTTTATGACTAACACTTAAATGAAGGACAAATTTTTGAAACTCTTTTTGTTATACTCTAGGTTTTCAGTGCGCAAAATATCATAATACGAATAAACGTGAAATGGAGTGAGCTATCAGAGATTTTCGTCCCAAAATTATCGATGACGATTGTATAGTGACATATTTTTCTGGACATGGGATGGAAGTAAAGGTAAATATTACAAAGCACTCGTTCGCATATCCAACAAAATTCAGCCGTCCGCAATGAATGTTCTTCAACACAATTTGTTTTGAAAAAAATATTAGGAAATGTCTGGTATTTCACTTACAATGGAGGGTCGTGTACTGTTAGTAAAAAACATTAGACGTAATCGGGTCAAATTAAAGCTCTCACTGTGAAACTAACAAATTTAAAATACAAGCTGTTCATTTTGGACGGAGAGCAAGAAAATATATTTTTTAGGTTTTTACAATATATGTGTGATATTCATAAGTCAACATTTTAATACAAATTATTTTTCTTTTTTTGCGATATTTGAATAGAGTTGGTCGGGTTGCAAAAGAGAACGTGTGTTTCAAGCTTTAAAAAAAAATTAAAAGATTTTCATAAAAGTAACAAATTTTTTGGCCTATTTTTTTTATATTTAAACATAATGATACCTTTGATCTTTTTCGTTAATTTTTTTTAAATTCTTTTTTAAGCTTGAAACATACTTTTTCTTATGCAACCTGACGAGGTCTATTCTACCATCGTGAAATAAGAAAAATAAATTGTGTTAAAATGTTGACCTGTGAGGGATGGTGTGGGTTGTGGGTCTGTGTGTGGATCAAATGATATAACAAACGCCCACACCCTTCTTAAGATATTCGAAGGCCAATATATGGATTTTTTCTGCAGGATTCTAACTTTTCAGCAAGATAGATCCAATCGAACCGATTTTTGGCATTATCGAACCTAAGATCATTTGAATGCTGAGATATCCTTCTCTATTTCGATATTTACGAATAGTTTATCATCTTTCTTCACTTGCAGATTATCTATTTAAAAAAAAATAGTCAACTTATTCTATCTTCATTGCCATTTAGTTTTTGAAAAACGAATACAAACATATTACAAAATTCAACAGATGGTGAGCATACATGATATTAATTATCGCTACATGGAAAGAAACGTGCATTTTTCGATGTTTGTATCGATTATTTTTTTTTTCTGTCTGTATTTTATTCGATCCGTCGCGTGACGTACCACGAGGAAAAATGAAGAAGACAGAAAAATCTCAATCAGAGGCCCAAAAAAATGCATACAGGTATCTATTGATATATTTATTTGCGTTCTCTCTCTCTTATTCCTTCTACAAGTTTGAGTCTCGTTAAGAAGAAATAAGTAAATCACAGCATCGTGACAACTCTACCGTGACGTGCAGGTCGTATTTTTCACTAGACGGTAAAGCAGAAAGAGGATGGATGACGATGACTTCGATCAAGTATCTCAAATTTTATTTGATGGTGTGGATTCTCTTAGTAATATTGGCTCACCTGGAACTCTCATTCCAATAACAGAAAATACTCGTGCTGTTCTGTGCAGTGAAAACTTTAATAATGTGATCATTGTGGCCAGTCAATTCGATGAGGGTCGATGTTTAGTATTTGCGCACAACGGCTATACGAAGATTTTTCTTAATGATGAAACAGAAGACCAAGATTTTGTTGACAATTGTCGACGATGGCTCGCTCGAGGACATGATGCTGAATTTCAATCGATCAACGATGCAGATTCGATGGATGATGTAGAACAAGATGGTAAAATACTCATATGGGATGGACACTACACAAAGAATGATGCCTTTATGAGTGATCTGGTTCATATAATTATTTTCTCATTATTAATCTGTTGAATATCATTGTATTGTTATAGTATGCATTTTTACAACAGGGTGGTGCTTTGATTTGTGGAGCAACTGCTTGGGGTTGGTTACAAGCAAACGATGGCAAACTTCTCTCGGATTTTCCATTCACACGTTTCTGTGATTATATTGGTGTAAAAATTACGGACAATTGTATTGATTGTCCTGATCCAATTCCTTTTCAACCAGAGTTGGTGACATTTAAAAACGTCTATGACATTGTTCAAAATCTTGCCAACGATCCGGATAATATCAAATACTTCACCATTGTCGCGTTGGCCATCAAAGAGTTGGACGATACATTTCCTGGTATATCAGTTGAAACCCTACAGAATATTGTCATGAATGCTGATCATGATGTCATTCCATCGAGTAATTGTCCGATTCAAGATAAGTCGTGTCGAGAACAATCAACAGGTATCTGTAGTATTTTGTGTGTATTACCTGGCATCAAGGCTCCTGGTAAGTAAAAGAAAGTCATTTGAGACGCTGCGCGTAGTGTGCAGACTTCTAGGTGTGACGGATTTTCCTGGTGATTTCGACCAACCACCACGGATTGAAACGAATATTAAGTGCCATATTCAATCAAATTTCAGCGAATGGTTTTCTACAGGTATGAAAGAAGATATTGAAACTGCTGAATGTCTCAATGATTAGAAATCGATGTGTTTTCGTTTTCTCTTAGGGTACTATGTGGCTGCTGGTATTCCCATCCAGATTGATGTATTGGAGCAAGTAGGTGCGACTGGGTGGTCAGCCAGAATCGGTTGTCACAACGATGATCTCGGAGTATGTCTTCATACAAGAATAGCTTTTTTAGCACGATGAAAAATATACTGATTAGAGCTGTGATGAACTTCGTCGATGGCCATGTATTTCTGTATGCAAACCGTTGGCTAGCAAACATGTTCGACTGAATTCAGCTTTTGGTGGCCTTCTTTTTCTTGAAAGTCCTGAAGGCGAAATGAACTCGATCACTATTCTTTTGCATCATGTTGTTCTGACCCCTACCTACGATCTCACTGATCCGAATCGAGCGAAAGCATGGCAATATCGACGTGACCATGCACAAGGTCTTTGGGCAGATATTGCTGGTCAACATATCGTGTTCAATGTTCCTTCGAAGAGTATACTTCACTTTGATAGTATCCAATTAGATCGAGTTCTTCAGTTTTGGGATGCTGTTGTAATTGCTCATCATGAGCTAAGAGGCACAGAACCGAAACATCGTGAGCGCATCGTATGCGATGAGCAACCTTCATTTGGCTACATGCGTAAGGATATTGGACTGTGACGAATTTCTTCGCTAATAAAGAACGTCTTTTTTAGATAGTGGTTATCCTGTCGTCACGCATATGAACGTGTCTGATCCAAACGCTGAAGAGTTCATACTAGATTCCAACGAGCTGGAGAAGAACGGCGCATGGGGTCTATTTCATGAGATCGGTCATAACTTGCAACGAGATTCTTGGAGTATGTATGCAATTTGTTGCTTCACTAAATCGAATCTATTTCAAAAATTACATTTAGCATATGATGGTGCTACTGAAGTGACCGTGAATATTTTCACTTTGCACGCGATGGATACTATTTGCCATCAGCAAGTATGGATTCATTCTTGGCTCAAGAGTAACATATCGAGCACACGGAAGTACATAAAAGATGGATCAAACTTTGATAATTGGAAAGAGGACCCTGGCGTTGCTCTATTTATATATGCACAATTGGCACGAGAGTTTGGTTGGGACAGTTACAAGGCTGTCTTTCGTCAATATGAACAAGATGAGCCAAATTTTGATAGTGATCAAGAAAAGATTGATCACTGGATCGAAACTTTCTCGCGTCAAGTAGAGTACAACCTGGTTCCGCTGTTCAAATTCTGGGGTTTTCCAATTTCGCAATCGACTATCGACTCCCTTAGTGATCTGGAAATTCCAGAAATCTCCGATGAATTCATCAAGATGGCACCAGAACGTTATCAAGCATAGATTTTTTTCTAATGCAGACAGTAAACAAAACAGACATATGTGCCAATCTATTGAACTGAGTGACATGCCAGTATAATACATATTCTATTTCACAATAAAAATCAAATAAAACTCATGTTTCAGCATTGGTTGATCTCACGGCATTTTATCATTTATTTGAGCAAAACAATGCTTGAGATGCAGTAAGTTTTCTGCAAAGACAATAGCAAATCCTCAGTTAGCGTTCGCAAGATCAACTCAGTGAGCAATCTTATTTTTCAGCACTCCAAGTGCATCATGCTTTTAACTTGTTTGTGGGCCTTTAGGATCACAGTCAAACTCTTGAATATTGTAACACTATTTTGAGAAAATCAAAAACTTATTTTTCTTCGTTGATAAAAGCATGAACATCGGTAAGTTTTGCGAGGGTGTGGCTGTGGAAACGAATGAAGTGACGGCTCACGCGCACAACCTCATCAACATCGCACACCCTCAGTTTTTAAGGGCATGAGAGTCAAATAGTCCACGGTGTGTTATCCAGATTAGGTAAGTATTTATAAGTGAGTCATGCTGAATAAAGTCTTTGAAGTATATTCATATTTCAGAAATCTTTTGTCAGAGTTACCATAATAGTTCTCAAAAAGTTCAGTTTAGAAAAATGACAGGAAAAATCAAATAGTCTATGTAACAAATATTGTTTCCACTCGATAGCTGCTAAGAAAAATGTACACGCACGCTCACGTTCTTCTGTTGTAATGTGGCCCATTTAACACATGTGAATCAGGTTTTTATGCGTACCGTTAACTAATACATGATATGCCTGTGTTCAAATTATTGTAAGTTTTATTACTGTGCAGGAAATAATTTCGAGAGTTTGTTTCACATTAGCTGGATACGTGAGTTTGATGACGTATCTCCAACGGTATTCTATTATTTTAAGAGATGAATGTAATTGTATTATGTGTGAAAGTTCCAAGTATATTCTGTAAAATAAAAACAAAATAATACACTTTTGTCAGTCGTGATGACCGAATGTTGTTGGAGACACGGAAATATCCTCAAAATGGGTACTAAGTATAGACCAACATTTTTATAACTACAACAAGTAATTGGATGCGAAAGTGAAATTTCTTTGGTATACGTAGCTGGTCACCCCCATTATATACCCAATTGTATTTCATAGCATGCAGATCCTCGTTTGAAAGGATTGGGATTTAATTCAGAGATTTGATTTATATTCTTATTTTATTCAGATCGAACGACAATTTAATTGGTTTTCACCAAGCATAACGATTAATGAGTAATTCCATCACATTTATTTGAATGTGTCACATCATGATTGATAAGACTACCGTTAAAATCATCATAAATATCATGTAACATATGTGCTTATAACAATTCTCTAATAATTCATATTGAACATCAATACATTTGTTAAAAGATTTATTACAATTTTCATGTTAATCAGATCTTGTTATATTGAACTATGTGTTTAATATGTGTATCTAGTTCATTTATTTCAAGATAATGTTTCGATATATCTTTAATGGTACATATATTTTATTTGATATTCTGGTAGTTTTGAGATTGTCAAACAGCATCAATTATATACTTCACATGATAACATAAATCAATACATATAATATGTTATCCTTAATTACATTTTGAATGCCATATAAAACATCGTTTTCTCAATCGCCAGCTGATGTATACGAGCACAGAAAAACAATGAAATTATCAATATAAATATTATTGCTGTTTAGATATGTAGAAAAATCTCCTAAAGTCTCCTGAAAGTGATCTTAGTCATATAACTATTCGAATATCACTTTTTTGTTTACGACAATTAAAAAAATAATTATTAGAACTTTGCTGAAAATAAATAAATTTTATTTATAAATAGAAAAATAAAACGATGAATTTTAGTTTTTAATTCATTTTTGCTGAAATAATAATCACATCTACAGTGACAATAGTCGTTGGATCACGTGGAATGTAACTTAGATTAGAGAAAATCAGCTATTAGAATAAATGTTTTTATTCAAGTTAATGAGAACTTTCATTTGACAAACTAATAGACGAAAATATCTCAATCAAATCGTAGGTGAAACTCTTTTGAAAAGATAGAGACTACGAATGGCATTCCTAGAGATCAATCTAAATTAGTTGTCATTGTAATTCATTTATATTGAGAAGCAAAAGTACAATAACTTAGATAATTACTTTTTATTTTGATTGGTATGGAATGTACTCATAATCATTAGATTTCTTTATAGAATAAAAATATTCTATTTTTGTCATCTAATTTATTTTATTTCATTGGTAAATAACATAACACACTATGTTCTATAAAGCTTTTTTACCAGAAAAAAACATGGATTCATGATCGAAGAATTCTAGTTTACTTATTGATATTTGTCTAAGTTATTTGAATTGTGACTATTTGAAATAACACAATCAAAACAATTATTAAAATATACAACTAACAGATACATGTACAATAAATTTATCTAAGGAAGAAATGGTTGTCTCTTTTAATACAACCAGATACCACATTTATACTAACCCTATCGCTTTTTTTTTGATAAAAACCATGAGAACTATTTTCTCAAGTTTGAAAATTATAACCAAATTGATAATTTGTCATTTAGTACCTTTGCTTGATGTTCAATTCCGTTTAATACTTCTTTTAACCTTTCCAATAATGTTTCAACTTTATAAATGATTTAATAAATATAAATGACAGTGATTTCATTTCATTTAATAGTAATTGTAAAACTGGAAAAGAATATTCATCGCCCGCTTCAATGTGTAATACCTTAAGGAGTTGGTAATTGTTAAAAATATGGATAAATATTTCTACATTTTTTATATTTATTTTACCATGCTTCATATCACTTACAATAAGATGTTGACTAGGGTGTTGGTGTGGGTGGGTGTGGGTGTGGGTAGATGTAGGTGTGGGTGGGTGTGGGTGTGGGTAGATGTAGGTGTGGGTGGGTGTGGGTGTGGATAAATAGAAGAGCAGCACCCACCCACACCCGTTTATGGCACCTCCGTCACCGAGCGACTATTGGAACGGTATGTTCATTCAAGTGACTTTTCCCGGACGCAAAAGTATAACGCTAAATTTGACTACAGAAACGCTCATTCTACCAAATATCTATCCAGTGGGTCCATGCTTCGGTCAAGAATGCTATGGTACGTTGGTCTAGATGATACTTAAAAGTTACTGCAGATTGTTTGATAAACGATCCATGTTGAAAGAACGAATTCTGCATTTTGGATGTGGGGTGTGTGTATGTGCGTGAGGGCTGTGCAAATACATATACAGTTTGTACTCCGCGAAACAACGAAAAACTACTAGCACAAAAACATATTGGTTTGTATCGACTTGTTCGGCATGTATCAGGTTCATGTATCGGTATAATACCATGTATACTCCCCCCCCCCCCCACAAAAAAAAGAAAAACATAAAATCCGTGTATCGCCCGGTCTGTCCTCGAGGCACGCCGCTATCGGCGTCGCTACGCTGCAAACGGCGAACACGTTAG